TAATATAATAAAGCAATCATTCACAGCCCCTTGTCAATCCAGTGCTGGATGAAGGGGGTGGGGGGGGGGGGGTTGGTGTTTTGGCCAAACTTCTCCTTTGCTGGTCAGTGGTCAGTGCAGGTTGGCGAAGCTACGTGTCGGTGGTAGTGTCCTCAGTGCTTAATTAATATAGCCGAGGTGGTAGTAACTCAGAGGTCAGAGTGCTGAGCTGACACTTCTGAGATATTGGGTTCGATTCCAGGCCACTGCCTGCGATTAAACTGAGTTCCCAAGTGTAGTGAGGTCAAGGTCTCGTTTAATATAGCTATCGTGGCTAAATCCCAGCGATATCAAATATTACTCGAGGTGGTTCGGAGGGTGGGAAAGTGATATCCTCTAACGCATGGATTAGGGGCCGTCCATAAATGACGTCACGCGATTTTGGACGATTTTTGACCCCCCCCCCCCCCCCTGGTCACACGGCGTCAGAAAAAGTCAGACCCCCCCTCAAATATGACGTCAATAAAGCTCTGCCCCCCCCCCTACCCTCTAAAAAAATAAAACATGCTTCAAATCGCTTAAAACTATTGTCATTGTAGCGTGCATTTAATGTGGCGCTGCACACTCTGATGTTGTAGGAGAAAACATGTATTTTAAAAGTCTATTTAATTAAGTAGAACGTGTTGTCTATATTTAAAGTTGCGCATTTTTTTACGTGACGTCACATTTCTCAACCCCCCCCCTCCCTCACAGGTGCGTGACGTCATTTATGGACGGCCCCTTAGAGGACACTCGAAGGACTATCAGAGATAGCTCTGAGACATCTGCTTGGGTGGACAGTTCTTATGACATGAAGATTTGAACTGCTGTGTCGAGATCCGAATCGACACTTCATCTCGTGACATGACAGAGCACAACCGGAACGCAATTGTGGGAGAGAACAAATGTATTTCAAAAGTGTCATTGTAGTAGCCACCATTATGGAGCATGTGTTTACGGTGGGGGGGAGGGGGGGGGGGAAGAGAGCACGAGTTTGTGGGATAGATGACAATTATGGGAGATGTGTATGCGTGGCTGCCCTCGCAAACTGGAGATTTGAACGAAGGCATCGCCATCATCATAGCACAGTGAGAGCTGCTGTACAGCCCAATGCTAACACGTTTCACTTCCGCTGTCCCCAGACGTGGTGAAATCCCCGAGCGCGCCGCTTCTGCTGTCTCAAATCACAAATGCCGGATCGCACAACAGATTACTTAACAGATCTCAATTGGAGTGTCAGGAGTTCAAAGTGCATGGTCAAGAGTCAGCTCAGTCCATGATCTCATCGGTCAATAAAATGAGCACTGCTTCCTGGGAAGTCAATAATAATGGCGGTCCTGTTGATAAAATAGCCTTAGCCATAGGAATATTGAAGAATATTTCACCACTGCATCAAGGCCAACCACAAATATACACATCGCCCCGTGTGGGAGCTTGGAACAGGGAGGCACGTGGACTTGATAAGTAAAATGCCTTCGCAATGTGAAATCATAATGTCTATTCTTCAAATACTCTTTGATTCTATTCGGTAAAGTCACGTAGGTAAAAAATAAAACAACAAAAATCACGACGTTTCGGCCACAACACAAGTGGCCTTCATCAGGTGAAGGACAGCGCTGGAGTGAACACAGGCAAGCTCAGACCGCGACCTTTAAGCTGTGTGAGAGGAATTAAGGTGCCTTGACAAAGGAATTAGCATAAAAATTAGCATTTAATTGGCGGACTTAGCATGACCGAATAGAACCAAAGAGTATGCATCCTTGCAGTCACGAAAGCTTCAAATCTAGAATATTCTTCAAATGTTTACGTACCACGGATTATTTCACTAATTGGTAAACATCAAAGCATCGATTTAAAACCTAATATGCATATATACAACATACTTTTTCAATCTTGAATTCGTGGCTGTAGTCTTAACATTTTCCATACTGTGTACTGTGCCACTATGCTGATGGATAACTGTGCATTTATTTATTTATTCAAGTCATGGTCCTGTCGACTACTACAGCCCGTGGATTCCATGTCGTCATTCTCTAAGTATAGTTGACCAAAGTAGTTTTTTTTTTATATAGTCCACTCTTAGTTATTGAATGTTGGTGTGAAGACTGCACACTTCCACCCTTTTCAATCCTCAAATATTGTCAAGTCAGCCAATCAATTAACTCAATGAGTATTTTTATATACAAAGCCAATTACTATTTTGGGTTTGTTTTATTCAGTGTACTGAAGTCTCAAATAAATGCCACTAAATTATCTTAGACTGCATCTTCAGACTAGCTAATTTAATCCCCGTCACAAACAAGTCAAGCTGAGGTCAATGGTGAGTAGCCGTAGGTGTTGCCATGCTCGGCCATTTCCTTCCGCTCAGTCATCGTTGACTGAAAAGTACAAAACACTTCGTTGACGCGAATGTATTCTCGGCACGAATTTTCGTGAACAAAATTAACCGAATGCGATCTGCAACTGGCCGAGTCCAGTTGTGGACTGCAACCGTGCCAAGATGCTCTAGAGGAGTTGTACACCCCTAGCTGCCACTGCTATTCAGTGGCCTGAAATCAAATGTTTAGCTCTGGATGCAAAGTATGATCTTGTGCTTTGATTATAGTGTGCTGATCTTTAAAGGTGCATTGAAAGATGTTGATACTCCTACTGATACTCCTGCTGTTATGGAGTGACTCATGCAGCCAGCTATGGCTGGAAAGTTTGGTAGTACATGTTATGTATGTCGTTTATTGTAAAATTTCAATCACAGTTCCTATGATGACTGTTACATTGCTTTTAAAACTTTATTTTGGTGATTTCGAAAAGTTTTTGGTTTAGCCATATTTGTTTGTTGTAGTACAGAGTTAGACTGATAACTTTAATCTAAATTGTCTTATGGTTGTTATTGTTTGACTTGCATCCCACTGGGATTTTTGCACACAGCATTGATATACGGTTTTTTTTCTGGAAGACTTTGCTGTTTTTTCCTGGATTTTTCTGTTTGCTCATAGTCACTTTAAGATGTTTTTCTTGTTCATGTTTTTGTTTGTTGCGGTTGCACCCGATTAAAGAGCCGAATGGCTCACAGGGCTATACCAAATAAATGAAACTGAAACAAAAAGCAACGTAGATCCAGTCAAGACAGGATAGAATAACAGTCATAACACGACATGCATTGAGTCAAATTTCTCATACACACAGGAACACCCCGCAACTCCACAAGTGACGGGTAATTATAAACGTGAGACGGAGGCCTGCCAAGTGAGTGCAGATAATTAGTTCAAGAATTGTGCGTTATATATTTTTTATTTCATACACTGACAGATTTATAGTCAACCCGTATGAACATGCGCAATAGCGAATGATAGCGTTCGGTACAACGCAACATTAATATCATATTCTTGGTTCTTTCGGTAAAGTCACGTAGAAGGGAAACAATAAAATACTAAAAATATAAAACAAATAAATTATCACGACGTTTCGACTGCAACACAAGCAATCATCATCAGGTGTGAAAACCACAGCAAGAAAAAAGCAATCATCATCAGGTGTGAAAACCACAGCAAGAAAAAATGAAAAAAGTTTTTTCTTGCTGTGGTTTTCACACCTGATGATGATTGCTTGTGTTGCAGTCGAAACGTCGTGAGAATTTTATTGTTTTATATTTTTATTATTGTATTGCTTTCCTTCTACGTGACTTTACCGAAAGAACCAAGAATATGAATCCCTGCAATCACGAAAGCTTTAAATAAAAATTTAACATTCATATTCTTGGGTTTTTCGGTAAAGTCACGTAGATAGGTTCAAAGGAAATAACAGAAAATAACAAACAAAAAAACTACGACATCTTCCTGAAGACGTCCGCTTGCGTTGCGATCGAAACATCGTAGTTTTTTTTGTTATTTTTTGTTATTTTCTTTGAACCTATCTACGTGACTTTACCGAAAGACCCAAGAATATGAATTGCTGCAGTCACGAAAGCTTTAAGTCAACATTAATATTCCCATCGTTAATTTCTGCAAAGTTAACATTTCTGCAGTACAATATTTCCACGGTATATCGTTCAAATTAAAACGCCCATTATGTGGAAAGATGACAAAATGGCATGTCTGCTACTTTAGGCTGCACAATGTTTTAATAAAATATGTGAAAGCACACCAGAATTCGTTGCTCAATTACCAGAAGGCTAGGCTATTGTCCCGATAACCTATGCAAAACGTGCCTGCCAGGAAAGAGGATACATTTCATCGTGCACGTAACAAAGTAATGACATTCTCAAAAAAAGGCTCTATCGCTATGCTACCCGAGAAGCATGCACCCGGGTAACCTTTCCAAATGGCCTTATGACCTCGACTCTGAATTACTTTAATGTTGTTGCTTAGTGCATTCTAAATGCTTGGTTATTTTCCTTCCTTAAGAATATTGAATATTTGACTCATTTTGTTAGTTATTTTGTCATACACGACAAAATAATTAACAAAAAACATACATTTTTGATTTAAAGCTTTCGTGACTGCAGTAATTCATATTCTTAGTTTTTTCGGTAAAGTCACGTTGAAGAGAAACAACAAAATAACAAAATATATATAAAACAATAAAAAATTCTCACGACGTTTCGACCATAACTCAAACGGTCATCATCAGGTGTGTCGGTTTGCATAAATTTATTTTTAAAACGGCACATTTATTTATTTATATAAAAAAAAACGTTGGCGTCACGCGCAGCGATTGGCAGTTTGCCCAGGATTAGTCCATCTATTTAGATGGTCCATCTATTTAGATGGACTAGTCCTGAAAACTCAATGTGTACAACGCACTAGATGGACTAGTCCTGGGCAAACTGCCAATCGCTGCGCGTGACGCCAACGTTTATTTTTATTTTATTTTTATAAATAAATAAATGTGCCGTTTTAAAAAATAAATTTATGCAAACCGACACACCTGATGATGACCGTTTGAGTTATGGTCGAAACGTCGTGAGATTTTTTTATTGTTTTATATATATTTTGTTATTTTGTTGTTTCTCTTCAACGTGACTTTACCGAAAAAACTAAGAATATAAAAAACATACACCTAAAACTAACAATATGCCTTGAATTGAGACAGAGTTCAATGATAATGTTTTACACAACGTCAAATATTTCTCAATTAGAGTCACCGCAACTTCCACCAAAAGTTTATATTTTCACGTCGAACAAATGTCTACCCGTGGGAAAAAAATGCCTCACAACATCAGAGAACTCACAACAGCTACATCTGAGCATTCAATCAGAGCCAAAATATGTAAACCCCAGGTGAGCATGAGATTTAAAAAAATAGACGTCTCACGGCTACAGAGTGTGATGAGTCAGCCTGATCTGGTGAATGAATCATCACATGAAGCCTTGGTAATTTGATTCTGCATCTGAGTTTATCCCAGATGTAAATATTATATGAAATCGTTCAAAGATAAGAAACGAGCTATTAAATTGCACAGTGAAGGCAATGTCGCCTTCTGGTTATGGCGAGGGAGCCCTTTTAAAGCGAAAAAATCAGCGGTTGTGTTGCGTGTCTCTCACAGCACCCACTTATCCTCATGACACAACTTCTAGAATCTGCGATGGGTTTCACGATCCACTGAGATCACACAAATCGGGTTATAATTAGTGGCAGCCAGGGGATAAATATGTTGGTAGGGCACAGAAATCTGTGGGGGTTGAGGAGGGGGTGGGAGGCAGAATGGGGAATGAGGGTGGAAGAGAAGCACGCGTGGTTATGCAGTTTATAATCTTTATAATGAGCAGGTCAAAAGTGTTAAAGGTTTAAATTTTTATTATTAATATTACACTAGTGGTTCCCATCTCCACCAACATTTAATGGCCCACTGCGTCTGGGTATAACTGAAGAAAACCACAGTAGACCAAATGCAGACGTATTTGCAGCGGATTTTGGCTTGCCATCGAATAAAGATGGGGCATTGCGCGCTTTTGCGGCCGTCTGGAATGTTTTTCCTTCCGATATTAGGAAGCCACCGGAGCTATGCACTTCTAAATCTAGATTGAAAACTCATTTCTTTAGAACTGCTTTTTTTGTTTAGTCTGTTGTCCTTCCCCCCGCAGCTTCCGATTAGCGCGGTTGGCTACGTACAGTGCGAAAGAAGTTCAATATATCTACATACATTTACTGCATATAACTTCCGAATTCATAGTGCTTGGTCTGTACGTACGTATGAATGCATGTTGAACTTCTTTCGCACCGTGCGTAGCCAACCGTGCTAATCGGAGGTGCGGGTCTGCAATTTAAACGTAGCTAAAAATGAAAGGCTGAACTTTTGAGGATACCAAGAGGACTGGGGGTCGAGAGGCAGAAATGTTAGTGTAAGGTAGTGCGATGTGAGACGATCACCCAGCGAGTAAGTGGCACACCACCCCACAGGGGGGTTTCTACAAAGCGGTGCCTCGCCCCTCACTCAGCTTTCATGATCCAAACCTCATTGTGACGGTTAATTGGGCGGAACGGCGGATCGTAGCCCGCAGAGTGGAACGAGCCAAGCTGGTACGGAAGCTTGGCATCGTCCAAGGCTTTCGCCAGCAGCTGGGATTGATGCAGCCAGTCCCTCTCCATTGCATAGCCATCAAAGGAGCTGCGACGACATTCAGAAGAAACGCCTCACGTAATTTGTTTCTCTCTCGTTCCCGCATAGGCAGTGGTGGTCAACGCGCAAATAATTACAACAACAAAACTCAACGCATCTGTCAATAACACTGCTTTAAAATTAAATAAAACTAAAAATATATACACCTCATATATTGATGTGCATAGCATGCACATAAGACCAAGATCGTCATTTGGCGAGTGCTGCCAGTAAGTGCCTACACTGAGCGTGGCACCCGAGGAGGTGGCCTTGCCAGACTCACGTCTGGCCTCATTTGTTTGCCTTCAGTGCTGATGTTTACACATTGCACCACAGGCACTGATTGGAGATCGAAATGCTTAGTAAACTAGATCTCAATTGGATAAGTGCAATCCATTCAATGTAAGGGTAACGATCGATCGTGTACATTACAGCGGGTTTTCTCATTGGAACAAAATGCAGCTTTATAAACCAATGAAGCACGTGCAACACAAGACGACAGGAAAAAAAATGACTTGTCAACTACAAGTGACACAATCTGCACTGGTCGAACGATCTCAGTTGGGCCAAGGGCAGGAGGCACCGCCACTGTGGGTGTCGTGGGTGTCAAGACACCCCCAGCACTCCTCATACAGGCCTAAGCGATAACCACAACATTTTAAATTCATTGAATCTTCGATGCGTTAATTCCTTGATCCGTGCATCCATTTATGCGTTCGAATATTTCATAATTTTCACTTTCGTACGTGGGTTCATTCATCAATTCCTGCATTCATTCATGCACTCGTGCATGTGCTGCCCGTTAAATATGCGCAGTCTGCATGGAGCACGGCTGCCCTGAACCGTAATCCACGTGCGTGCACTCGCCCAATGTAATACACGCTCACCGCACAACTCCCCTGCACTCCGCAGGGTCACTGTGCCTCTGCAATGTAGCCGCCAACCACCGCCGGGGAACCATTCATGAGTAGGAGACCCACCCCCAACTTCCGCAGTGCGGCTACGCCCGTGGCCAAGGGCGGTGCTGGCGGTGGTGGGTGGGACGTGAGACGTGCACACCTGACATAGTGGTGGGACGTGGGACGTGCCTACCTGACGAATGCCGTCATCGCAGGCAGGGAGGTGAATTCGACGCGGGGGTCGGAGGGCGCTGGTGGCTCCCCGGAGCCCGGCGGCACGAAGAAGGACACGGTGAGGTTGTGCTCCGCCCTCGCGCCTTTTGGCGTCACGTGGCACAGCACGGGCGCCGTCATGGGCACGCGCACGCCTGCAGCGGACAAACCGAACGCGCATGACCGCGGCGATCGCCCGCTAGTTGCAGGGGTTTGCGGTTTGAGCCCAGCGGCCGCGCTGGATAATACTACGGGGGGGAGGGGGGGGGGGGGGACATTAACAGAAAAAAAAAGTGTGCACCGTCTGTCTTCTTGGTTCTTTCGGTAAAGTCACGTAGAATGGAAACAAAATACAACGTGATAAAATAAAATGAGAATTTTATTTTATCACGTTTTATTTTTATTGTTTTATTTCCATTCTACGTGGTGACTTTACCGAAAGAACCAAGAAGATGAATCCCTGCAGTCACGAAAGCTTTAAATCGAAATTGTGCATCGTCTGCTTCGCAGCGGACATTAAAGATCCCATTAAGTTATTGGAACGGTCTAGGCCCCCGGGGTCGGCAACCTGCGGTTCCAGAGCCACGAGAGGCTCTTTAAGGACTGCTTCGTAACGTTATTCACGCGCGCCGCTGCGGCTCTTGAAATATTGAGTTCTGTTTTAATTCAATTTGAAAAATAGAGCTCTACTTTTTTGGTACAGGCCACGTGTGTTGGCATATTTGAAAACTACTCACACATTTCCTGCTTGGGTAAAGCCACGTAAGAACATTGCCCCCTAATGTGAAACCACTGCAGACTGTAATCGTCTGTCAAGGATGGCTTCCTTCGCAATAGCCTTGCTCTACAAGAATGGCGCAAGTATCAAATATGATCAGATGGTTTGATGAGTTATACCTTAGGGACCGTCCATAAATGACGTCACGCGATTTTGGACGATTTTTGACCCCCCCCCCCCCCCCTCGTCACACGGCGTCACAAAAAGTCAGACCCCCCCCTCAAATATGACGTCACAAAGCTCTGCCCCCCCCCACCCCCCCAAAAAAATATATAAAACATGCTTTAAATCGCTTTAAACTATTGTCATTGTAGTGCGTATTTAATGTGCCGCTGCACTCTGATGTTGTAGGAGAAAACATTTATTAAAAAGTCTATTTAATTAAGTAGAACGTGTTGTCTATATTTATTTAAAGTTGCGCATTTTGATGTGACGTCACATTTCTCAAACCCCCCCCCCCCTCGTCACACATCGTCACAAATGTCTGACCCCCCCCAATCCCCCTAGGTGCGTGACGTCATTTATGGACGCCCCCCAAAGGTGTTCAATTGGATGAGGGCTGGCTTGGGAGTTGAACAACACCATCTGTTCGCAGGGGGGTGGGAGGTGCACAGAGTCGTCGTCGTTGTTGTGGATTTGTGTTTGTTTTATTTCATCTTTCCCATTGCAACAACCACAGCAGAGAACGTGCGCGCAACGAGAAGAAGCAACGGGGCGGGGAGGAAGACCTGGAGATTGCGTCCCCCTGGGCGGGAAGGGTAAGGGAGGGAAGGGAGGGAAAAGTTCGGCGAGTACCTCCTCTGTTGTAGCCACCGATGTAACGGAAGAGAATCATGAACCCATCGACAACCGCTCGCTCGTACGGCTTGCCCTCCACTCTGGTCATCACCCATCGGGTGGCCTCATACGCCCTCTCCTGGAAGCCCTGCACAAGCAGCACACATACAATCCAGATTTGAAGCTTTCGTGAGTGCATGAATCCATACACTTTGGTTCTTTCGGTGAAGTCACGTAGGTAGAATAAAAAAAACCACACATCTACTTTTGAGTCAAATACGGCTCGTCATCGTTGGGTGACAGAGCCTTCTCTATAGCTGCCCCCCTCACTTTGGAACTCTCTCCCAAAACAAATCCGTGACTGCACCGACCTTCCAGCGTTCAAAACGTTGTCTAAAACTCACCTTTTTTTAATTGTTTTTAATGTTTAGCTAAGTTTGATGTGTTTTTACTGTTTTTACCATTTGATGTAGGTTTTTGCTGCTTTTATGAAAGTGTCTTTTAGTATTCATATTCTTAGCTGTTTCGGTAAAGTCACGTTGAAGGGAAACAATAAAATAATAAAATATATATAAAACAATAAAAATTCTCACGACGTTTCGACCATAACACAAACGGTCATCATCAGGTGTGAAAAAACCAACGGTCATCATCACACCTGATGATGACCGTTTGTGTTATGGTCGAAACGTGAGAATATTTTTTGTTTTATATATATTTCATTATTTTATTGTTTCCCTTCAACGTGACTTTACCGAAAGAGCTAAGAATATGAATTACTGCAGTCACGAAAGCTTTAAATCAAAAGTGTCTTTGAGTATTCAGAAAAGCGCTCACAAATAAAATGTATTATTACGGTCAGCCACGGTCAATATGTTGCTGGATTAAGGGCCTCGCCCGCAAAACTGCCACCATCTCTCCCTATCCTGCGATTTCATAATCTACGGAGCATCTGCTCGCAAACTGATTTGATCACTGCTCCTCTTCAGTTGAGCGTCTTCTCAGAAATGTCTCATTCCTTGGCTGCCACTCCCATCACGATTCTTGACCGTTGGCCATTATCAGTTCAGGTTGACACGTACTGTCTGAATTACGTATTCATACCGTGTCAACCCATACGGTTTACCCCGTATTCTTGTACAGGGAAATTGAGTTGCAGGTCCATACGGCGTATAGCCGCTTCGATACGGGCAACAACATTGTTTGTCTATTTGTTTGTGTGTTCTCCCTTGTGATGGGACTTTGTAGGATGAACGCTGAGATTTAAAAGGGCACGGAGTTACCAATAAGGTCCAAATTGGTCTGTAATAAGGTAGGCACTGATAAGGGGTTGATAGGTATGTGTATGCTCTCGAAATCGTGTTCCTCTATCTGTTCCTCTATGTAATTCCAAGCATACACCTCTCCACCAGTGCCGGATTAAGCTAAACACAAATGTTTTACTTGCATCGTAAATTGTATATTTTTTATTTGCTATACAAAGGCAGTATAGTACTATAGTAATAGAGCAAGTGCAAAATCACTGAACCGGAATTGATAGCTTGAAAGCATTTAGCGCAGGGCCCTTGAAAGTGCGGGGCCCGTAGCATATGTAGCTACTTTTTCTACTAGGATAATACGGCACTGCTCTCCACGATTCTTCCGCACTTTTAATTTCGTTCGTATTTTTTTGTTGATGACCATATGTCGTGGGTACTTTTCCAAAAAGTGCCCGAGGTAATCAGCAAATAAGAAAGGAACTTTTTTTTATGACCCACAGCTGGAATGTCTAGAAATCTACAAAAACACAAAGTAACGCTCACTAAATCCAATTTACCCTTTCTCTTGCTAAATGTAATATTTTTACGAACTCACTTGAATGTCATTTTTTTTTTTGGGGGGGGGGGGGGGGGGTACATTTCTGAACCGCAGTTAATTCTGGGTTACCCATGGGCAGAATTTCCCGAATGGGGATTAACCGTCCTTGTGACAAAATTAAACAAGTTAAATTCATGCGAGCTGGTTCTTTATTGGTAAGCTGTGGCCAATAATTGAAATTGATTTCCCAGCATCATCATCATCAATATTGTGGCAACTCCAGCCTTAAGTCACACTACGTTTTATCATCAATCATACTTGGTACTTACCACACACACACGTTTGTACATGATCTCAAGAAACTTACTTCATGCTCAGCCACCAGAGTGAATGTAGGACAATCCAAATCATGACAGAACCATGGCTTCTCGGCAGCGTCCACCTTGGCATCAGAAGCATCCGCCATGGTCCAACCCAGCACCAGTACTGGCAGTACGAGTACAGCCAGCATGCCGTGGGCTACGCGTCACCTCTCGTGAGCTGTCACAACACCACATGGGCCAGGCATGACAATATCCCTACACATTTTGTAATACAATACTTCTTCTTTCGTATGGCTAATGTAGATGGAGAGCAACAACTACAATTTCACATTCAGGTGGTCAAGCCAGACAACTGAGTCAGGAGTAGCGGAGTGTATCACTGTGATGTCTGTGTATATATACATGCATGGATTTTGTCCAATCCATTGCAGGATGAGGGCCTCCCCACACCATGAGAGTCGTGAAGGTTATTATATTTTGGCTTTTTGGTTCCTACACGTGTACGCTAGTAAGCAGCAGATGATGCCCACGGGGTCTTAATTCATTAGAATAACTTCAGAGGTAAGGAAGACGTGCACCATAACTCAAGGTTGGGGATTGCCACATGAGGCCTTTCCGTTGCACTGATCGGATACCAGAGGGGAATATTTTCAACCTGGCAACGACACTGTTTCTCATTTAAGATGAGGTGGGGGTGGGTTTATGTGTCAAAGCAACTCTCCAATCTCAGCCTGTGATAGTTTCTCTTTTATACACAGGCCAGCCTTGGTGCTCAAAATTGCAAGGCTGGCTCAGAGTAACCATGGAACCCTGGGAGACAGAGGATAAGCATGCATATTAAGGTACAACGCACTCACTGCACTTAATATATTACATAACAAACACAATCCAAACACGCAAAACACAATTTATAAAACGATATCCATAAAACACCATACACAATACATTGACATTATCACACTTCAAACTACAGTATATATTTCAGAAAAAAGGTTTTCTGGCTGGATAACCTGGGTGGATTCCTGTCTGTCTGGACTTTCCCTGGCAGGATGGGGATGATTAAGTTGTATGTGTATGTGTTTGGGTGTTTTGTTTACCATCCTTGTACTTTGCACTACTATCATGTTTGACCTGTAAATCGCTTTGATCTACGTCGTTTCGATGTTCGTCGTTGCACATTTCACAAACGCATCCCCGATGTAAACCAGGGTGTACTACTTCACGACCATAAAAACACGACGCGTGAACGCATAATACACACAACACATTACACCAAAACGCATAATAAAACCAACATGAATGACGCAATACGACGCAACTGCTGCACGTAACGCACACAAAATATAACGCGTTGTACCCTGTACGAACACGTGTGGTTTCGTGGTTTCAAAGTTGAGATCAGCGGCTCGCTTGACTTTAAGGGGGCGAGTTTCGGATAATTAAAAAAATCGCACTTTCAGAAATTTTAAGGAGAGTTTCGTAAATTTTATCGGTTTTTTGTTTCGTCTTTACGATGTCCGATGATGTGCTCACAATTGCGGTCACCAAATGCCACGTCAAGGCTACGGAAGTTATTCCCGCTGCTGTATGTATTTAAAAAAAAACTATTATAAAACCATCGTGGATCTTATATCATAGGATATATCGTAGTGTCGACACATCACGCCAAACCGAGCCTACAGTGTGAAGGAGCCGCGTTACCTAACAGCGCGAAGGCTATGGTGACCACTAACAAAGACAAAGGCCCCCCGTATAACCTACATATAGTGCTGGGGCAAGTGCTATCAGCGAGCACCTCTTAAGAAAGGGACATCGCACCTATGAGTGGGGTTGGCGTGGTCAGAACCCCCACTCCCGGCCGCCTTGGTCTCCCTAAATGTTGTTAACACACTGCACCAGGTACTAATTTACACACACACACCACCCCAAGCAATCACCTGCGAAGGTGGTTTAACGAATTCACTGGTGTTAGTCTCTTGGGCGCTTGAAGGGTATTGCAGTCCAATTACCTTTGTGTGGTCGAGCCGAAGAAGGCTGCTTGCGTGAATTGTCCGCGCAGCCAAGCAACTCACACGGCATCAGCTAAGGGGCGTTAGTTAGGTCGTGTGGCAAGCGGGAACGGACGGCCCTTCCAATGATGCGTGTTATTATGCAATGTGTCCTCCCACCCACACGATTCACACTGGATCGGTGTTTATTCGCGTTACTGCTTTCCCAGTCAGTCGTCAAATCCCACGCCTAATCCCGCCTGGAAAGCTCTGCCTTTTTGGTTGTGAGCATCCAAAAGCAAACGCGGGTTTGATGTGTCATGCAGAGAGGGCTTTTGTCTGTGTGAGGTTTTTTTAACGTTAGCAGTTCGCCGGGACAATAACAAGAGTTAGCCAAATCTGTACTTTACGCTTATCTTGGCACAATAAGCACACAAAACACGTCCGACAATAGGGGTGGTAGTCCAACCACTTTGCATTGCAGGCCATGTTTGCTTAACATACAAACGTAATGCCGATTGAGAGATGCATGCTTTGAATTAACATGATAAAGTGACAATACATGCATCAGGGAACCAAAGCAAATTATAAACATTTATTCACCACAATTGATGATGGGATGGAAGCCAAAGGAACACTCACTCCTGAGAGGTTAAACGACATGGAGAGTGTTGAGAGCATTATCTACAGCAGAAAGATGGATTGTGGCATCAGAGGACCATAAGGGATGGTTACAAAATATGGATGCCTTCATCCAACAGTGGAATAAAACATAGCGAATGAGGATGTCAGGTAAGGAGACGGGCTTGTCACCAAGGCTCATCCAGTGACAGTAAACATTCTGATAATTGTATTAAAGAATACAGAAAAATGAAGATATGCATTACCTCAACGATTATGTAGTGACATAGGGGATGTCACTGTGCCATGTTCCTACGTCGCGGACAGCATCGTGCGTGTTGCTGTGTGATGCCGGCTGTACTATAGCACGGCAGGTGTAGTACCAGCCCTAGCGGGGCTTTGGTGAGCGCTGGGTTAGCGCGGGCAGCACGCACAGCGTGCAGTGCGGGCCCCTCCACATGGGGGAGTGGGAGAGTGTCGGCCCAGGGTTGCCCCGGGCCATGGCACTCTGGTTGACCCCGTAGACACGTGATCCGGAGTGTCCACAGAGTGGGCCCCAGGTGAGGGGGCTAGGGGGTGATCACGTGTCCAGGGAGAGCTCTCGGGGCGGGGCGATCGAGAGGGAGCTGGAACGCTCGAGAAGGTGGGCGGGGCCAAGGGCGGAGTGGCCCCAACCCGTGAGAATATCAGGTGGGTCCCTGCATTCGACAAGCTGAAGCTCTACAGGCATCAACACGTGGCCGGGACCCGAGTGAGGGTCAGAGCCTTCGGAGCTGTAACTCCTACATATAGGGTAGTTAGCTGGGTAGTCACCACCCGAGGCTGTATCTGGTAAAGGGGCACTTACCCCTTTGTGTTAACGCGTTGATGTTACAATACGTGTGTTATATTCTTGGTTCTTTCGGTAAAGTCACGTAGAAGGGAAACAATACAATACAAATATAAAACAATACAATTATCACGTTTCGACTGCAGCACAGGCAATCATCATCAGGTGTGAAAAACACAAGAAATTTTGAAAAAAGTGGCGGGTTATTTTTAACGTTAGCACCACGGAGAGCAATTTGACAGTTTGTTCAGATGGACGAGTCCATCTATGTTCGGAAAAGAGGAGGGGGGAGACGAAAAATAATGGATGCGGTCTGAAAGCCACCTTGAGCGTGAGAATGTTATTGTTTTATATTTTTATTATTGTATTGTTTCCCTTCTACGTGACTTTACCGAAAGAACCAACAATATGAATCCCTGCAGTCACGAAAGCTTTAAATAAAAAAAATACATGCGTTGCCTCTAAAGAGAAACGTCTGCGACTCAGTTGGACTCACTACAATTACAAATAGGTGCATTTATACTGTAGGCATTAACTAAAAGGGGAGAAAGCCATTTGAAAGCTTCTTAAATAAATTGCATCCTCTTATAGACACAATGTGAGTGGGGGAATACATTTTTTTAAATATATAGCAAATACTGGTAATAAGCTAATCTCATAAAAGCAAGTTTTAGCAGCTCCACTCTTCTTAAATCCTTGGTAGTAAGCAGAATAACAGCCCGAGGACAAACTTTGCAATTAGTATTCAGACGGTGCATGTGTGCCTGCGTAGTTTAACATGCTAAACTGCATTCCAATAAACATACATCGCACAAAATGCCAAGCGCCTCTGGGGAATCCGGTATTCAAAAGGTGCAGTAGTCATACCTCGATATTCAGTCGTATATTAAAACGTCGCATGTTGAATAATATTTGTACCGAGGATGTGTTCCCAGCCTTCATGACGTCCCATTTAATATTGTAAACACTGCACAACTTACCATTCATATTGTAAACAAAGACAATTTATATTCAAAATTTTTATACTGTACAGTATTACAATTAAAAACTGACATTAAAAAACATAGCTAAGCACTTTATTCTTATTTATATAGTACTGTAAATCGACAAATATATTTATTGTTTATTTCTGATTTTACTGTGTGTGTAAAATAATGGTAACAAACTCCAAAGTGCATTTTCCCAAAACTTCGTTTATTTAATACTAGCTGTACTACCCGACTTCGCCCGGGACTTGGATTCACCACACCCGTCCGCCTTTGTCTCCCCAGTGGCGATGTTCACACTACAACAGTTACTCGTTTGAGGCTGAGTCGACCTAGGGGAGGCCCAGGACCGGTAAAAATAATCGTCACCGGTGGTGGCCGTGAGCAGGAATCGAACTCGGGTCGCCGGGTTCGTAGCGCGACGCGCTAACCACTACACTACAATGCGTTACGCTTCCACATGCGCGGGTCACGTGACAGATTTGACGTGACAGCTCACTTGCCGTGCAAAAAATAGTTGCATTATTGAGCTCCACCCCCCCCCCCCCCTAAAAGAACAAAAGTGTATTTTTATCATTTTTGCATGGTGTACAGTCTGCAAAGTACCCACATGGCAAATTTTCAGTTTGTTGCATGTCGGGAAGTACGCTAAACATTTCAAACAGACAAACATTCACAACTTTGCCTTTTATATATATGGAGATATACATATATCGAGGCATCCATTGCGCGATTTAACCCAAAAATAAGTACAGTATTTGACTGAGTGATCTTTTAACAATCACCTGCACAGGTAAGACAATCTAGTGATCTGTTTACAGACCATTTACCATTCTTGTATTTGTCCTACATACCATAATTATTGCAAGAGAATGTAAGGTGGCCAAGGATATGTGTGGAGTTTAACTCCCTCGTACGCGTAAGTTATTGCAATGCGTGATAACTAGTTCCTTGAATCCATCTGTGTAGGGCTTTGAGTGTTATCCCATAATATGCACGTCTTCACCGGCACTCCAATTTCCTCTGCATGCCAAATTCTCATTCATGGCATTGGTCAAACATCCAAATGCAAGACTGACAATGAAAACAATCTTTCCAAATCATTAATGCTTTTCTGCATAAACATACATTGTGGTTATTTTAATGTAATTTTACAACAATACATTATATCACTGTTTATTTGACGTGAAGAAAATATACTTAAACTTCTTTCAAATGCAGTTTTACAGTGCTCAGACAATTGTTTTTCAGGGAATTTGTGGAAATCATTCTTAATGTTCGGTTCCCATTTAAACACAAGTTAGCTGTTCATCTGCACAACAGAACACATTTGCCAATGAGACCAGGTTGCACAAGACAATGTCGACATGATTCATAATACATTTTTTGGGTCAGACTGCACAAGTAACATTTTTGTCACAGACCCTTCACCATACACAGCCAATTAATGAAGTTGTCACGTGAACAAATGTGCCAATTGATTGCTGCTTCATCACCACCTGTATGCTGGAGAGAAAACTCACAACACTAAAGAAAATTTGGTACAACGTATCGCCGGTTGCGGATTGCTCTACAACATACCGGTGTGCTAAAGCAGTAATGCATTTGCAAGTCTGGTCACATGACTTTATAAATTGGCCGTGTCAGCTGGAGAAAGAGTAAGGCGCACACTTTACTCACGCGATCTTACCCAAAATTCAATTACTCACATTGACCGCAAAAGCCGACATGTTAAATGTACATGTCAGCATATAGAAAATAAAATAAATATTAAATGTATCGTTTTACAAGTTGATTTATGCTTCAAATCAATAAGCAGTCACCTTTGTAGTATTCAAATGTAGAGTACTTTAATTGTGCCGTGGTGGCTCAGGTTACAGTAGTGAGCCAGCATCGCTTGAATCGCGAGTTTTATTGCAGACTAGCTGTACTACCCGGCTTCGCCCGGGACTTGGATCCACCACGCGCGGCTGCCTGTCTCCCCAGTGGCGATGTTCACATTTGAGGCTGAGTCGACTTAGGGGAGGCCCAGGACCGCTTAAAATAATCGTCACCGATGGTGGTGGCCGTGAGCGGGAATCGAACTCGGGTCGCCGGGTTCGTAGCGCAGCGCGCTAACCACTACACTACAATGCGTTACGCTTCCACATGCGCGGGTCACGTGACAGATTTGATGTCACAGCTCACTTGCCGTGCAAAAACAAAATGCATTATTGAGCTCCCCCCCCTCCCCATGGTGTTCAGTCCGGAAAGTACCCACATGGCAAATTTCAAGTTTGTTGCATTTCGGGAAGTACGCTAAACTTTTTAAACCGACACACATATTCACAACTTTGCCTTTTATATATATGGAGATAATCACCCATGACAAAAACACTTTTTTCAAGTGAAATTAGTATTATCAGTCCAATCAACAATGACTGCACACACAAACGATCAATAAACACAGGCGTTTTACTTTGTCTTCGTAAGGCTGCAAGAAGGTAAATATTGGTGATATGCTATGAACATTCTCGACAGGGCATATGAGAAGCCTATGACTGGTTGATGCACTGCTTCGAGATTTGAAGCTTTCGTGACTGCAAGGATTCATACTCTTTGGGTTTTTTCGGTAAAGTCATGAAGGTAAAAAATAAATTAAATACACGAAAACTAAATTAAATCACGACGTTTCGGGCGCTTGTGTGGCGCTTGTGTTGCGCCCGAAACGTCGTGATTTAATTTAGTTTTCATTTATTTTATTTCATTTATTTTTTACCTACGTGACTTTACCGGGAAAAAAACAAAGAGTTTGATGCACTGCTTTCTGCAAGGGTTACAAATGACAATTTCTTCATCTCGTGTTATAACACCGATAGCACAGTTTGCCTCCCGATGCTTTGCGTTTCACCAATATCTTGACTTCATCACGGTTTGTTGCAAATATTCCATGATAAATCAGTTCACTTTCCACTTCCAAACAATTCCTGGACCTTGTTATAGATGCGCGTTGAGTATGGCACCCAGCCCTCGGGGACTGTTGAAGCTATTTGAATACTGTACATGTGACTGTTCACCTCCACTACATGCTTCTTGTAATTCGGATCTGCAAAAGAAGACGTCACAAATAGTTTTAGAAACATATACAGCCAGAACGAGAGAACACAACAAACATGACAAACAGTGCACACGAGAAAGACAGATCAAGACAAAGAGTGCAAACGACACAGAACGAAACAAAACACAGTCATCACGAGAGACAACAAACGCCACGGAACATGCACACGAGACAGAACTAGACCGTACCTGTACCGTATAAACACAACCGAGCCAGAAAAGCGGTACAAACGGGACCAAACGCTTGAAAGGAGTCAAAGTACTGAAACAAACGAACCCAAGACGAATCGATTGTTGGACGGCATCGAGGCCTATATTTGCGACCTCGAACAGACGCAATTCTGTGAGATGTGAATCGATATCCGGCCTACTGCTGCAATGACACAGCACGTGGAAGTCATTGCGATTGAACCCCCGTGGGCCCTTGTCCCGTACTGTCACCATCATAAACCTTTGTACGTTGAACTTCTTTCGCACCTTACGTAGCCAACCATGCTAATCGCCTATCACCTGCACTCCCGGAATATCTAGACTCCACCACTCCTAAAATTTTGATTTAAAGCTTTCGTGACTGCAAGGATTCATATTCTTGGTTGTTTCGATAAAGTCACGTAGAAGGGAAACAATAAAATAATAAAAATATAAAACAAAATTCTCACGACGTTTCGACTGCAACGCAAGCAATCATCATCAGGTGTGAAAACCACAGCAATAAATTTTGAAAAAAGTGGCGTTTTTTATTTTTTTATTAACGTTAGCACCACGGAGAGCGATTTGACAGTTTGTTCTGATGGACGAGTCCATCTATTTTGATTTAAAGCTTTCGTGACTGCAGTAATTCATATTCTTAGTTCTTTCGGTAAAGTCACGTTGAAGGGAAACAACAAAATAATAAAATATATATAAAACAATAAAAATTCTCACGACGTTTCGACCATAACACAAACGGTCGTCTTCAGGTGTGTTGGTTTGCATAAATTTATTTTTAAACGGTACATTTATTTTGCACCGTTTAAAAATAAATGTATGCAAACCAACACACCTGAAGACGACCGT